GCCGCAGTCTGCAGGGGCTCGGCCCCTGGAGGTAGTCCGCCCGCCCGCGCTCCTGTCCACCGGGTGGCCTATGCCGTAGTCTGCAGGGGCTCGGCTCCTGGAGGCAGACCGCCCGCCCGCACTTCTGTCCACCGGGCGGCCTATGCTGGTGTCAGTAGGCGCTTGCTTCACATGAACAGACACAGATTTCGTCTCGCCGATCACGTCGTGCCGAGTGATAACTCAACGTTGTTTGCAGTCGTTTTATGCCGTCCCTTCGCTATTCGTGTCGGTCGCGGTCTACATTGTCTCCCAGTATCACCCTCTCTTCTGTTCTGATGGTGTAGCTAAATTTGGAACATCTCACATAACACGGGGTGGCCTGGTCGGGCCCGAGGCCAGGCAGTGGCGCGCGAGCTGGTAGCCGGAGCCGGTTCCGGACGGGATCACTCTCAGTGGCCTCCACGCCTTCACACCACCTCCACCCACCCACGGCGCCTGCTCACTCTCTTCTCTTCTCCCCCCACGAGCCTGGATCAGGTCCTGGACGGCACCTGAGGCCGCGCAGCTCATCGCGCTGACCTTCAGAGTCCAGAGGGTTGCCGCGGGCCCCATCTTACATCACTGACAACTCTGTGGCCAATTTACATGGCAAAATTTTGGAGTGGAGTTTTGAAAAGCACGTAGTAGTACCCCGCACCCTCAAAAAAAAAAAAAAAAAAAAAACTACAGCGAGAAAGAACAACAACAAAACTGAAAATAGCATGTCTTTGTAGTCACCTTGACATTTTTGTTTGATTTCATTTATATGGTGTACTTGTCATGTGTCGGGGGATTAGGCGGTTAGTATTGACGTAACCGCTGATAGCCGCACTACGCACTCCACGCAGGGTTTGACCAGGCCGGCTAAGTAATTTGGAACAAAGTTAGGTGCGTCGGGCTGCGTTTTAAACTCGTGGACCAGGCGGCTGGCGGAGTCCAGAGTCCACTGTCCAGTGAAGGGCGAGGCCATTTATCGGCGGGTCGTCGCAGCCAGCTGCCCTTGGTTGGGGCGCGTCTGCGCTCTGCGCCACTCTGTAGACCGCGCCCCCGCCCCGCAACCGCTCACTAGAATGAGTGAGTAATACAACCGACTATTATTAGAATCGCCTGTAATCAAAGTCCTTTTCATTTTACACTCCCCATTCCAACCACTCGAACTCGACAATGGAATAGTCGCCTCTCATTAAACGCGAAAAAAAAAAGATGTGTGACAACCACCGTACGGTTACTTCAGAGGCAGACATAATGCGATATGGTTAAGGCAACTTGAATAGATGGCCGTGAAAACAAAAGTGTAATTCTGATAAGCAATTGTATGGTTGCCAATTAATTATATTACGGTTGTCCACCTGAAGCAACCTAGACGATCGAGTGTTGCTACAGCTCTCCATATTTCTCTTGCTGATGTATGAGGCCGGCACACGATGAGGGGCGTTGTGTGCATATTTTGGTGGTATTTTTAATGCGACTGCCCGTCGTGGCGTGACCACCCCTCGTGCGTGGCATGGCGTGGGCATGGCGTGGGCGTGGCGTGGGCGTGGTGTGGCGTGGCGTGGCGTGGCGTGGCGTGGCGTGGCGCGGCACGGCGCGGCACGCGGCGCGGGCGCACCCTCGACGACTAGCCAGAGGCACCGCAGGCGCCGTCGGCGCCGCCCGTCCAACCAGTCCGCCAGCACGCCCCGTTGAGATCGCACGAGCCCCCCGACAGGACTAGCCGAGCCGAGCCGAGCCAGGCCGAGCCGAGCCGAGCCAGGCCGAGCCGAGCCGAGCCGAGGACTCCCCTTGTTGCGCGCGCGGCGGTACGAATCCCCCGCAGAACAGTCCAGGCCGGCGGCGCAGCAGCGCGCAGCAGCGACACGTCCCCGTCTCCTCCCTCACCCCCGTGGTGCTGGCAGGCCAGGCCGCAGGCCAGTGCGGTGAGCGCTTCCAGCGCGTGTGTCGAGTGTGCCCCGGGGCCGATAAGCTTTACGAGGGAAGTGCCAGCCAACCCTATACCCGACCGACTGAGCTTACCGCTCCCAAGACCAGGCTGATCGGACTCGCAGTCAACCCGTGCATGGTGAGTCTCTAATCCCGGATATATTTCTTACATCATGTCCCTTCCGCCTCACGACTGAAGGGGTGAACAGTTAGTATGGTTTGTTGACACAAAATGTAAAACAATCAGAATAGAAATATGTGAAGGCAAAACTAAAGAAGAAAAAGTGACTTGGGGGGGTTTAGGTTCACTCGGGTTCATACACTTCTTTTTACAAACGACGAAACGACCAAAGGTTTCTGAAACAAATAAAAAAAATCGGCGTGGAGTGCGGTGTACTTTGCATGCAAATAAAAGTCATAGAAGACTGAGCTCAGTCAGTATCGCGCGCCGGCTGGACTTTTGCCAAGTTGAAGGTTGAGGTTGAAGGGGCGGCGGCGTCTCTTTCAGAAGGGTGGCTCCGTTCAAACGGAGCGAGGCGGGGCGGGTTGGAGCGCGCGCGCGCTAGAGAGAGAGAGAGAGAGAGAGAGAGAGAGAGAGACAGACTGGGGCCCTTTTCTACCCCATCGCTTTGGAGGCCCCTTTCAGTTTCAACCACGAAATGTAACAACACGCATTAAACGCTTTAGCAGCTAGATTAAAGGGAGCGGAGAGAGCGGCGCGCTGTCAGAAGGGTAAGGGTAGCCGGTAGCACCCCGCCGCTGCTAGAGGGGAAAAAACCTCCACGACAACTGCTCACTTCGTGGAACCTCAGGCCTCAGGGCAGGGGGCGTGTAAAAGTGGGGAAGGGGGTCATGAACCCTTCAAAGGCCCCAAACAAACAGCCTGGACGTGGCTGCGCAGAAAAAGGAGTGGGGGGGCTGAGGTTTACCCCTAACACACGCCCTGTTGGAGTGTTAAGTGGTGTGAAACAGTTTTCAGGTTCATTATCGACTTTCTCGGAATTTCTTCCTGGGCCATCAATCATGAGAAGACTGTAAGGACTCAACCAGCCGAGTGGCCTTCCGTTGAACAAGCGCTCGCCCGTTGATTAGGTAGTTATTGATTTTTTTCCAGCCGAAACTAACCCGATCCCATTTCTCATGCACGTCGCTCTGGCCGTCCCGGGCCGTGGCGAGGACGAGTTTGTGGAGGCCGACGTCTACTTTAGCATCGTTGCGGGAGGTGAAACTCGAGTCGAGTCATTAACACTCCGGTAACAAGTGCCCCTCTCTATCCTCCTCCCCCCCCCCTCTCTCTCTCTCTATCTCCCTCGCAACCCTTCTCCTTTTCATAATATTGAGCAGCAGAGTTGATTTTCGGGCGGGCAAAACACGGCGACGTGGATGGCTGCTGGCGGGTGGCGGGTGACTCGCTACCTCCACAGCGGACCCCACCCAACCCGGGTGACTTGCTGTCCTGTCCAGCAGGAGGAGCACGGGCCCTCCATAGCAGCGTGGGGGCTCCAGGGAGCTGTAAGGCGATCGCTCCTACCTCTCTCCGCACCTCCTCCGGCGGCCCCGCCCCGCCCCGCCCCGCTCCGCCCCGACGGGCCTTGCTCGGTGCTTATATCGATGGTATCGGCTCGTCCGCTCATCTCGATGAGGACGACTCTGCCGCGCCCCGGGGCCCTGCCGGGCCCGGCCCGGACCCCGGGGTGCCCCCTCACGCTGTGTAGCGCCCCTGGGGGAGAGGTCTCTGGGGCCCCAAGGGCGACGCGGCATAAATTAGGTCTGTTTTAATTGAATCAGATTCGGGCGAGGAAAGTTTCGTAAGGCGAAAAATGATTATTGCGTGTTCTTGTTTGATCCCCTCTGCGATGCGCGGCGCTGTGGGGCGGGTGGCCAAACGCGCGGCTCGCCTCGCCTCGCCCCGCCCCGCCCCGCTCCGCTACGCGCCACCGCGCGGACCCAGCCGACAAAATTCCTAATGAGAGGTAATCAGGCCCCACTGCGCGATTTCCCCCCGAACGAATGGTGGTGTGCTGGGCGCTTACTATTTGGATTGTCAGGGTTGTTTCGTTCTTTTACATTTCAATTTTTAATTGTTTCATTATCTATAATTTTGTGTGTGGGGGAGGGGGGATCGACTCGTTTTTGGACGTTTTGAAAGAGACATATCGAATAACTGGACGACAAACACGTGCGCCTATAACTTTTTTCCTCCTTTTATCGGCCGCCTTTTCCGCTTTTCCACTGTTTGTAGCAGACACACGGAAAACGTATTTCAAGGCTGGTTTGTGAAATACTCGACGGTTCAGTGGTGTAGCAAAGGGCCGCAGAGCTGGATGTTCAGCAGTGCGAGGATTCTCGAGAGTGACGATGCGCGGCCCTTTCTACCGGGAGTCAAGGGAGCTGTGTACGTGTTTGGAACGTCGCAAAATGAAGAAGGAAGGGGAAAATGCGAACGGGACATTCTTTGGTCCGGAGGGCCGGCCTCCTGTGTCCCCTCTGTACCCCGCTGGTCCGCATGACGCAACGAGTGGTCTTCAGCTCGCTTCAGCCGCCGTGACAAGGGGGGCCTTCCCCACCTGCCGCACCCCGTCCCGTCCCGCCCCGCCCGGCCCTGCCCGGCCACGCGCGCTCGACCAGTAAAAAAAAAGGAGAGAGGGGCGCGGGGGATAAAAGAGCGAACGCGGAAAAGAGAAAGACAAAAAAAAAACAAAAAACGCGATGGAAGAGATGTACTCGAATGCCACAATGGCTGTGCGAAAGGCAGACGTCACTTTGTGCCGTCACTTAGCCAGAGGACAGAGCGAGTACACAGCCCTGGAGCCTCCAGCGGGACTGGAATGTCCAAAAAGTGGCGCGCCCCGGCCTTTATCCTTCCCCTTGTCCAGCCGGCCCCGCCCCGCCCCGCCCC